CCTTTTTGCCCCTTTTGTATATTTCAAAATCCATTTGGAATTTGGGGTTGTGACAAAAAGCAAAGGTGAAGCTTATTTTATAAGGATCAACTTTGGTATTCAAAGTTTTTAAAGTTTACATATAAAATTTGGAGTAATTTTGAAATGATTCAAATACTCAAATGCACCCCAAATTCAAATTTCAAAATGGAGGCAGAATTTAAAAATATTCCTTGAAGCAAAGTTGTAGAGTTTGAAAAGTTGAGCAACTTTCATTTTTGAAGATTTTCAACTTCTTTAAAAAATTTGAGAGTAATTTGAAAAATGGACTCAGTGGCAATTCTGTAAATAATTCAAAATTTTGATTTGAAGCCACCAGCGCCACGCAGCTGCTTGCCGCCGACCTTCTTCGCCGCTTTCTCACGCGGTGACATGCAGCCAGCACTGTGGCGAGCTCGTTCGTGCGCTGTCGACGCCGGACGTCTCCTTCCCGTCTATAAATAGCAGCAACCGCCGCCGTCGTCCTCCATTTTTCCTCTCTGCTCTGCTTCGCCACCGATCAACTCCGCCGCTCGCCGTAGCCACCGTCGACCCCTTTCCGTCGTGCCTAGCTAAACCAGCATGATCGCCGTGACCTAGCGCTCCTCGTAGGCTTGCTCACGTCGTTTGGGTTGGCCGGAATCGCCCAGCGCAGCGCGTCTTCCCCGTGACCGGCCGGAGCTCCGCCACGACCGACCTCACCGTGGTCAGGTTGCTCCAGACCGTCTCCGCCTTCACCAAGCACACCGGCGTGATCGTGGTGAGCTCCTGAGTGTGATGCTCGCTTCGTTTTAGTCTCTACCGTACCGTGGTCATGGTTGTGCCGTGCGCCGTCGAGCCCGAGCCGCCATGGCCGGTGTGGAGCTTTCTCCGGTGCGCCTGCTGCGGTTCTGAGGGCTGGGATAGTTTCGCGGGGTTGTGTAGATGGTTCTGGTGCGGTCTGCCTCGCCGGAGCATCACCGCCGGCGCGTTTTGGCCGACCGGTGATGGCAGCGCCGCCGTATGCTCGGTGTTGTGTCACTGATGATGGGGACCGGTTGTCAGTGAGAGATAGAGAGAGAACAGTAAGGTTTTGTTATTTTCTGAGTTATGAATAGTGCAGCAATTTTTGAGAATTTATAGGAAAATAATCATAGCTCCAAAAATTCTGAAAATTTTTGTGTAGCTTCTGTACATGTTCTATTATGGTTTAAAAATTTGAAACTTAAAATTTGAATAAATTTTTAATGTTCAAAAATTCAGTCAATTAAATGATAAATGCAATTTCCATAATTTTTGTAGGTCACTGTATAGCTCCAAAAATTATGAAATTTATTTTGATACACTAATTTGTTATGAGGAAGCTTACATAAAATTTTGAGGTCATTTGGAACAAGTTTATTTTTGGGCTTATTTCCAAATTAATTCAAAAATGAATAACAGCAAACCCTAAGTTTTAGGGTTAGGGTTTGATCTTGTTTGGGTCATGTTTTGTGACCAGTAGGGTTTCAAGATCAATTTGGTCAAGTCACTTAGGTCATAAACCCTAGCTATTAGTGTCAATTAGTTTTATTGACTTGCAACTATACCGCGAAGTAAAGTTGTATTCAAGGTGTTATTATATTTCATGCACCATAAAAGCTTCATGTTTACATTATCATCATGTTGAAGCATATGTTATTATTTCATGTAGAATCCGAGAGTGAACCGATTCTAGTTGAGCAAGTTGTGGAAGAATCCCCGGTTGTCTCGGGATTTGATATTTGTGGTACTGATCCGGAATCCGAGATCGTCAACGAAGGCAATCCCCAGTTTATGCATTAAACCATTACCTTGTTTACTTTGAAAAGTTTATCACCTATGTTACTTATCGCATTAAGTTGTTTAATTCAAATGTTACCTACTTGATGCATTGCCTACCTTGTTAATTGTTTACCATCCTTGGAGATGATTTCATTTACAAAGACGTATAATTGCTTAGTATGCTTTATGGTAGGCTTTTAAAGTAAAAGTTTTGATACAAACAAAGATGACATACTGGCCAAAGAAAGAAAGAAAGAAGATAGAATGAACTAAAGACTAGTCGGGTGACTTATCTTGAATGTTGGGTAATGTTGCCGACTATGTCGCTTAAAGGCCACTCATTGTGGATCTTTTGAACGAGACACTTTGTAGTACTGGTCACATACTCCGGTAAGTCTACTTCGGCTAATCCGATACTAAGACGAATGCCCACGCACTGGGAGTAGAGAGATGGCGGGAGTAGCGTGTACCCTCGTGGCTAGAATGTGGCCGGATTTGAGGTGTGCTGTGCTCTCGGGTGGCGTGGAGACGGCTTAGTATAGGAGGATCCGGTAGTGAGGTTGATATATGCAAGATTAAGTTCTACATATGTCGTGTGATAAGGAATCCCCAGCTGGGACTTGAATCAATTCGAATTGCCGGTGCTCCGTGGATATGGAGACTCGATTCATTACAGAAGCAATGCAGGACTAGTGAATTACTAAAACATGAGAAAAAGAATGGAATGAGAAAGATTGGAATATGGGATATGAACACTTAGTTTGAGATAATGAACTAAAGTACTTAGGGGTAAAACTCGACAATAGGATCAAGAATAGTAAGATTTTGGCAAAGAACTTTTGAATCTTGCTTCATCCTTACCTTGACCCAATACCTGCATCCCTAAGACCTTCGTCCATTTTTTGTCCGGGTCAGTCTTGTTGAGTACTTTTGTACTCAGGGTTTGTTAACCCTTGTTGCAGGTGAGTCGCATGCGCAGGCTTGTTTTGGTCCCTGCTGCATGTCAGTGTTTGAAGTCGATAACGATGAGGAATGATGAATGGCCTTTGGACAAGGCACTAGTTTGTGTGAAATAAATAATGTTAATGTAATATTATCCCGCTACTATGGTTGTATGACACTTATGGTTTTGTAAGTTTGAAACAACTGATTTGTAATATTAAAACTTAAGTCTTCCGCTTTATAATCTCTGGTATGTATATTGAAAACTGTTGTAATCTGCAATGTTTGTGATTGAGATCCTGTTTGGAAAAGACTCGTGGATGATTCGGGTTTCGCGAGGACAGACCTGTTAAGTTGTTGGAAACTTGTGTACGCTATCAAAGATCTGTTGAGTCAACGGTAGGTGCACGTAGGCCCGATTTCTTATGAGGTTCTGCCACAGTTGATGCCAGGATCTCAGAATGAGAGAAGATAGTGTTGCTCTGAATGATTTCACCTACTCGACAATTATGACAGCAACAGTGGCCAGCATACCTCTCCAAATTCAAGCTCAGGTGATCAAGACAAACTACCGGTATACACCAATTGTTGGAACTGCACTTCTGGCATCTTACTCGAAGCTTTGCAGCACTAAAGAAGCTCTTTCTATATTCAAAATGATTGATCAGAAGGATGTTGTTGCATGGTCTACAATGTTGACTTGCTATGCCCAAGCTGGTGATTGTATGGTGCCACAAATATATCATCAAGATCACTATGCATGGCTTGAAGCCAAATGAGTTTGCGGTTGTGGCCCAACGCCAGCGTCTCGACTGGTCAAGTGGTGACGCAAGGACGTCGCTTGTCTGGCCGCTGCCATGCTGAAGCGAGGCAACACCTCGAGCCTACTCGACAAGGTAATCTATCTTACCTGGACGACTGGATTGGAGGGAGTGTTCAGTGGTACAGTAGAGAGTGTGGGTTGCAAGCTATATCGAATCACTCAGCTGCTTATTGGGGATAAAAATATATGTATGTGACGCCAATCTTAACAAGTATGCTTTTATGTGATGAATAATATATTAGTGTTTTTGTATAGTATGACACACAATGCCAATATATAGCTCACCGAAATGAAGCAGAAAGAAATAAATTATACTCTGTTTCTGGCTCTCCAAGATACAATATCGATTATCAAATTAACATATTACAGATAACATATTGATAGCAGATCATCCATTGGCCCCTTGTATGATTGTTATCGTATTACTCAAATTCAGGATGCTTTATCAACTCCTCTTGGAGCTCGTACCGTTTTTGGTGAGCTAAAAAAATCTGGTTGTCCATAATATTAGCCCCTGTTGGATTTGCTTGTTTATATGGATTTTTTACTTTGTTCGTGGCAGTGGATGGTGTCCTAATTCTTGCTTATCCCCTTGCTTCTTTTTCTCTAGGTTGTCATGCCATTAGATTCATGCACATAGTGGATAGTTACTGATGCTATATTCTGTTTTGCAATGCAGATTCATGAAGGGTGTTAGGGATATTTAGCAGCGTCATTACTCATCAGCAGGTACGCTTGCTTTATTCATGTGAAGTCTAGAATAAAACTCGATAACAAATTTGATAAGATTAACTGGTTTTCTATGCTATTAACTTGATTTTATTCTAAACTTGATACCTGATATGGAGCGAGTGCACACAAGGCTGATACGGAGTGAGTGAGCATCTCGTCGGCTGATTATCGTCTTCGTGTAGCACATATATTTTTTGCATGTTTGATTTGATATCATAGACATATTAGAAGTTTTTATATTTTGTATATATAGGTGATTTTGTATATAATGAATAACATTAATGTTTTTTACGTGTTGAAATTGTTTGAACTTTAACTAATTCAAATAGGAAATAAGTGATCTTTAGAGCATAATAGAATTGGTTAATCACAATTGACATTTTCAACAGTGCTAGACGGTTCTAAGTCATAGGAGGCACCTCACACTCTGTAAGGTGCTCCCGCGTATATAGTTATCGAGCAATACTAGACACGTGCGTGCCGCACGTGCATATCCACTTGTTATCGTAAATAAAAATGTTTGGCCATTACGCAGAATCGCATATACGGTCTACTGCCGTATTGGCAATTTCGTATACGCCGTTCACTACGAATACACCGTACATCGCCGCTTCGACGTACTTCGTATACGCGCAGGCGCGGCCCCCAGCCCCCCATCGCACGAGTCCTGCTCCTATTTCGCTTACCTTCGTCTCCCGCAGCGATGGACCCCGCGCCAGCGCCCCCACTCGCCGTGCACCTCGTCACCGGCGGCGGGTCCTCGCCGGAGCTCGCCCTCCTACTCCGCTCCCTCGCCGCCGCCCGCGTCGTCGCCCTTGACGCAGAGTGGAAGCCGCGCCGCCGCGGTAGCCCTGCCGCTGCCGCCCCTGCGGCCCTGGGCGACGGCACGACGCTGGCGGCCAAGGCATCTCCAGCGCCGCCGAAGTTCCCGACGGTGACGCTGCTTCAGGTGGCCTGCCGCGTCGGCGATGGAGGCGAGGGCGAGCGCAGCGAGGTGTTTGTCGTCGACCTGCTCTCCGTGCTGCTCGCCGACCTGTGGGCGCCGCTGCGAGAGCTGTTCGAGCGGCCTGATGCGCTGAAGCTGGGGTTCAGGTTTAAGCAGGACCTGGTGTACCTCTCCTCCACCTTCTCCGCCGCCCTCGGGTGCGACTCCGGATTCGATAGGGTAAGGGCGTGTTGACCAAATGTCGTGGCAAGCCTCACATTCATTTCCTGGAGGCTACATTGATGTAAATTTTCCAAATTGGGATTACATTAGTGATCCCCGCGTAATGGATACACATGTGCTGGGATAGGCTTAAACTTTGAACTGCTTGCTTAAAATTTAGAACTAAATTCTACAGGATTAATCCCTCTGGCTTTAGCAGCTTTTCTGTGGGAAAGGGAAAGGAATTAAGCTCTGGAAATGCTTTACAACTAGAAGCTTAGCCTGCAGAATTGCACAGCTAGTGATGGTTATCAGTTGCACTTTTTCAGAGGACATTACTACTAGTTTCCACCCTTTCTCAATAGACATTTTAGAGAACATGGGCCTAATAGTAATCATACTTGTACATCCACTGTATATTGAAAAAAATTAGGGATCTTTTTATGCCACAACAACAAAGCGAGCAAAAATCAAATACCAACCAAGCTTTAGCGATAGACTGCCAATTGTGTGGGTCAACCATGTGTTAACGCATTGCATCTTATGATCCACATCACATTCCCTTTTGTTGGTAAAGTCTAGGACTGAGTCCATACCTGCAATTCATCCTTGATTGCAGGGTAAAGTCTAGGGCTTATTCCATACTTGCATCTCAAGCCTATATAAACCTTGCATCCCATGTGCTAGCATCTAGTTTCTCTTGTCGCATGATGCCCAATTCATATTGCGGGTGCCAAAACACAGACAATTGGTGCTCTAGGTAGGGAAAGTGTGCATAGATTCGATCTACAAGATCTAGATGCCCCCCAAGATTAGGATCATCATCGACTTTGCTCCCGTCAAGCTATGTGCTTCGGGAGCCTAGATTTCCTTGTCAATATAATTGCTAGGCTGAATTGGAGTTGGTCATGCCACAAGTGACAATGTTGCAGCACTAATAATGTCGTCAGACTCGACCGGAGTCCATCATGCCGCTGCTAACATTGTTGCCACAACATTATCAAGCTCGACCCCCTGAGTCAGCCATACCGTCACCATCAATATTGGCATCATCGACAATGTTGTTAGATTGAAACCCCTATGAGTCGATCATGCCTTCGCCGATAACATTATAAGTCTCGACCAAAGTTGGTCACATCACTGCTAATAATGTCATTAGGTTTGACCATTCTGAACACTATGCAAGCCTACATATGACCTTATATAGCCAATCAAACACAAGCAAACTGTACTGCACAAGTTTAGATAGAGACTAATACAGGCAACCAATCTATCTGTACCTTCATATTAAAGTGCCAAAATTTTTGTCGGGTATCATTATTAGGGATACCCAAAGCAAGGAGGTTAGCGCCCACGCTGACTCCCCCGGATGGCTCGAGACGTATTAAAAGGTCTCGAGCGACCCAAGGCTGCGTGCTGGTACTGTTCTGCCTAATCCTCATACGGACGCTGACAGGCGCGTTAGTTCACCACGACGTCCGCTGGGACAGAGTGGAACGCCATGACCAGCATATGACGCCTATGCATGGCGCTAGTGACGAACAGGGCCACGACGTGGAGCCGTCCCTGTTGACATCTATAGGATCGGCGGGACCCGCATGAAGGAGAAGAAGAACCCGGCAATCCTGGAAGCCTTCTTCTCTCTCTCTTCTATCTCTCTCTCTCTCTCTCTCTCTCTCGTTTTTCTCCTTTTCACCGTTTTAACCCGCGCTTTCCCTTCGCCTAGAAAAAGGGACAGGGCGCCCCATGAAAGGGGCCCGAACGAATCGGAACACAAGAGCACGACACGAGCACACGGTTGAGCGGCAATCGAGCTCTCAGCACCCGTTCACTCCTTCCACCAGAGACTTGGGATCCTTTCCCTCTCTCGCCTATTTGTAACCCCTACTACAAACCAAGTGTCGGTAACATGAGCAACAGTGAGCTGGACGTAGGGACATTCCGCCTAAACTAGTATAAACCCTTTTTTCCTCCGAGCACACCATCTGAGCCAGACGCGCAAATACAAATTTACTCATCGGTGGTCCAAAAACACCGACAGTTGGCGCGCCAGGTAGGGGCTTTTTGCGCGTCTCGACGTCCACATCAGGCCTCGGATGGCTAGTCACGACGTCAGCTGGGTCCCAGGCGCGCACGTGCGCTTCGAGAACCTGGACTTCATCGTTAGGACGGAGGGAGAGTTGGCGCAGGTTCCCGCCGCTGTCCAGCCTCTCCACTCCGTTGGCCTCGATGCTATCGCCGAGGCACTTGAGGAGCTGCAGCTGCACGCACTGAAGGCCCACGCACCCGGGAGCCACCAGCTCCTTGGCTTCGATTACAGGAGGCTAGAGCGCCAGCTTGGCGCCTTCCTGGGACCCCGACCGTCTCGGGAGGACCTGCACCGCCTCACCTTTTCGTTTGCCAACGTCATCACATAGCTTGCCGAAGGAGAGCCGCTCTCCCTAGAATGCCTCACCTAGAGCGTCCAAACAGCGCTCCCGTTCGGTCTGCGCAACGCTGCAGAGACCGTTGGCCACCTTGTGTCGCAACGCACGCCCCCATCCCCTACGAACGATGGGTTCATGGGGATGACCGAATACATCGCAGAATCTTTCCATGACCTTCTCGCAGGAGAATCAGAGTCGCCCTCTGACTCTGACTTCCGCAGGGCGAGCCATCACCCCTCGTGAGAATGTTTCATGGCGGGTACCCCCGAGGGATACATCGAAAGCATCCACGAGGGAGGGGCTACCCCAATAGACGACCTCGGCGACAAGGTCGAGGGGGATGCAGGGGCCCCACCTCGCCTGTGGGTAGAGCAGCTAAGGGCGCGACACCAAGAGCTCGAAGAAGCACGACTCTAGCTCGAGCAGGAACTCACGGAGCTTGAGCGAGAGATCGAGCGCCATAGAGATGGTGGGCGTGCATGATCCGTGTCCCACGATGTGAACCAAAGGATCATCGAGGACGACGAAGCCCCCCACACTTCACTCGGGCAAGCCAGAACATCGCTGCCATGGTAGCCTTGCCCCGGGGGCTTCCAGAGCCTGCAACACCAGAGGATCATCAGACCCATCATGAGATTCGTACGCTACTCAAGCATATGGCGGCGTAGCAGGCCAAAAACTTGCTGTCCTGACGACGCGAGCTGAACGCCAGCCAGCGCACGCCCTTAGAGCGACCCGATAGGGATGTATCAGTCCACCAGGCGCAGCAAGGCGACGGGCCGCGCACCGCGGTCCCGGTGCATGAGCGTCTTGACCTCCACCATGACATGTGCAACACCCTGGATGGCCATCGGTGTGCCCACAGTGATGAGGGAGGAGGCTAACCGTGGCTACCACCCTTGTCATGGCGGACGCTATTACAGCGGCAAGGACCGAAGCCCGAGCCCCGACTTGCCGGGGCCTTAGTCCTTTGGCCGACACATCCTCAATGCCGTCTTCCCACCACGGTACCGACCGCCGACTAACATCCCAAAATACTCTGGGGAAACAAACCTCGAACTGTGGCTCGAGGATTATAGGCTTGCTTGCCAAGCCGGTGGAGCGAATACTGATAATTTTATTATCCGCAACCTTCCATTGTTCCTGGCCGATTCGGCGCGAGTGTGGTTGGAACACCTTCCGCCCAACCGAATCCAAAGTTGGGCAGACCTAAAAGAGATCTTCGTGGGAAACTTCCAGGGCATATACACGCGTCTTGGGAACTTATGGGATCTAAAAAACTACCGACAGAAGTCCTAGGAAACTCTTCGTGGGTACATCCGGCGCTTCTCCCGATAGTGCAACGAGCTGCCCAACATTGCCGACGCCGACGTCATATGAGCTTTCCTGTTTGGGACCACCTACGAGTCCCTGGTTCACAAGCTGGGATGTAAGAGCCCGCGAACTACCAAGGAGCTCCTCGACATTGCCACCAGCCATGCCTCGGGAGAGGAAGCGGTCGGGGCGATTTTCGACCGCCTCAAAGGCAAGGCAAAATGGGACAAGGACGCCGGCGAAGGCGCCTCCAACCGTCCTAACAAGAAGAAGAACAAGCAGTGGCGCGAGGGGCTCACTCGTGGCGACCGTTGACTGCAAGGGGGGTCGGAAGCCCGCTGAGGGTACCCCAGACCACTTCGAGAAGCTGCTCGAAGGGCCATGCCCGAACCAAGCTTTCCCCGTCAAGCACCTATACAAGGACTGCATCCTCATGAAGCGGTTCTTATCCGGAGGCTCCAACAAGGGGGAGCATAGGAAGGAGCCCAAGCCGGCCACATACGACGCCGAGGGAAAGGACGATAGATTTCTGACGCTAGATGGCTGCCTCATGATCTTCAGAGGGTCGGTGGCCTATGACTCCAAGCACCACCAAAAGCTTGCGCGCCGCGAGGTCTATATGGCCAAGCCAGCTGCGCCTACCTTCCTCCGATGGTCGGAGTCCGCTATAACCTTTGATCGGACCGACCACCCGAAAAGCGTCCCACAACTGGGAAGATATCCACTCATGGTCGACCCAATCATCGGCATGAAGCGGCTCACCAAGGTGCTGATGGATGGAGGCAGCAGCCTCAAGATCATGTACGCTAAAACTCTCGATGCCATGGGCATCGACCGAGCGCGCATCCGACCGACCGGGGCGCCTTTCCACGGCATCGTGCTAGGAAAGCAGGTCGTGCCTCTTGGGCAGATCGATCTGCCCATCACCTTCGGGGATCCGACCAATTATAGGATGGAGACCCTTACCTTTGAGGTGGTCGGGTTCCACAAAACCTACCACGCCATCCTAGGACATCCATGCTACGTGAAGTTCATGGCCGTTCCCAACTACACCTATCTGAAGTTGAAGATGCCGGATCCATGTGGGGTCATCACCATCGGCACCTCCTTCCAACGCACCTACGAGTGCGAGGTCGAGTGCTGTGAACACACCACGACAATTGTCGCCTCCAAAGAGCTTGTGGCTATTAGGGAGGAGGTCGTCGAAGAAGCGCCCGACCCAAGCGGTCGACCGGGTCTCTCAAGCCTATAGAGGGCTCCAAGGAGGTCCTCATAGACCCCAGCGGCTTTGAG